CTCTAGTTCATTATTTCTTTCCAGCATGCTCCTTTACATGACTCTTCTTCTCTTATGACACCTTCTAAACGCATGCGCTGGGAGTGGGATGAACACAACGATCAGTTCTATGTAGACATGGACAAGTGTGTGCTTGCAAGGTGCATGTTGTTTTCTCACCAGCAGTGCCAGAAACTCCTCAGCAGCAGTAAGAGCTTCAGCTGTGCCAGCAGAGCTGCTTGTCTACCCGCTGCCCATGACAGTGGGAGAAATGTTCTGGTACGTGTTGAAAAGCCAGGCTGGGGTATGGCTGTGCTCACTACTGCTCAGCCTCTCACTCCCCCACAAAGGGTATGGGCTGTGCTTAATTTTAGATCAGGGAATGAAACACTGATCCCAAAGGTCATTGTGTGGCACTGGATCCTGCCTGGCCTCTGTTATGTTGTCAGCGTTGTGCTGGGACTTGGTAGGACTGGTCATGGTGCTTTGTCACTGCAGAGTGTCCCACAAGGAACCTATAAGGATCCCTGAGTCCAACCCCTGGCTCCATATAGGACTATCCAAATTCTATACCTGAGAGCATTGCCCCAACACTCCTTGAATTCCAGCAGCTCGGGGCTGTGCCCTGCGCAGGCTGTTCCATGCTCACAGCCCTCTGATGCAGAGCCTGTCCATAACCCCCAGCAGCCCCTCCCCTGACACAACTCCATGCCATTCTCTTGGGCCCTGTCACTGTCACAGAGAGGAGAGCTCAGCACCTCCACTCCCTGTGAGGTGCTGCAACCACCATGAGGCTTCCCTTCAGCTCCTCTGCTCTGGGCTGAGCAAACCAGGGACCTCAGATTCTCGTATGTCTTCCCCTCCAGACCTGCTATGGCCTCTTTTTGCAGAAAGTTCCCATCGCTGCAAAGGGGAAATCATGCAGGGAAAGTAAGTGGGGAAACTGCAGCAGCAGTACCTCTTTCTGAGGGTACAGAAGAACCCCTTGCTTCTTCTGTTCTGAGTTCCTGTTGTGTCCCCAGGGCTCGCTTATTTCTCCTCTGAGTTGCTCCCCTGCTGGGATCTCCTCGCATGTCCAAGCCAATTCAGGTTTGGCAAGGGCCACCGGTGAAAGTTTCCAGGGGAAATCCAAGTATCTGTGATCAGCCTGTGTTTCAATGCCTCTGAGTCAGTAAGGAATTCATCCTGTACTGTGTAAACTAGCAGTTCTTGCTATCGCATTTACTGGCAGAAAGGCTCTTTATTTCTTCATAAATACATAGGCATATTCCTGAGTGAGATCTGAGCATCTCCTGAGGACTGAAATTCCCACTGACCTTTCAAAAACTATTCCTGTTTCCTCAGCACACATCTGAAAAGCTGTGCTAGCTCTTCAGGACGGTAATGTTTGTCTTTGCTCCCATCTGTCCGGCAGAGCCCATGCTGTAGGCAGGGCAGGGTGCCTATGAGCATAATTGCTCTTGTGGGAGTTGTCCCAGTGCAGACATGGAACCTTCCTCACTGCCTTGGCATTGTCTGCGGTTATCCTAGCATTTGTAATACTCCTTAGTGCAGTAAAGCAGGAAGGCTTAGTGATGGTAAACTGGAAAATAATATTCCAATGCCCGTGCAAATGTTTTGGGTGCAGTATTGAAGTGTAATGTGTGTGTGTGTATGCACTTCTCACTCCTTCAGGCTGTCTGCCTGAGCTAGGAAGAAACGGTTTCAATTATGAGAGGTGGAAAGGGCTGTTATATATAGTATTAAATACACTTTTTATTATTATTATGGTTTTAATTTATTTATTTGTTTTCCCTATGGGAAAGAACATTTTCCCCTGAGGATTCTGCACAGTCCATCCTAAGCAAGTGTTTCCCCAGGAACAAAGCTGTAAGAGCAACAAGTCCATTCCTTTTTCATGTCGTGGTTAAGACAATGGAAGCTGAAGCTGTATTCTGCAGCCCAAGGTTAGCTGATTCTAGAAAAACAGCAGTTGTTTTCTCCCAGAGTTACTCTGAGTAAGTCTGGGAGGTTTAATGATATTTCTGTGAGTGTTGCTGCCTGTCTGGAGGCAGTTTTGTTAAACTGATATTTTTTTCCTGCTCTAGAAGTCTAATAGAGCAAAATTAGGAGCTCATTCAAGTATTCTGGCTCTAGTGTGAGCAAAACAAATCTTTTCTTCATTAATCTGCTCAGAACATACAGATTCTTAAGCTGTTTCTGTATGTAATCACTTGTAAAAGGCATTTAGATGGAAATAGAAACACTCAAACAAAAGTCCAGCACCAGGAGCTGAGGGCACAGTGTGTTCATGTTCAAAGGGGAAGGTAAGCAGTAGCATCTTCCCCCCGAAACATGGTAGGACTGTGTGATATGGGCTACTGATGGTGAATCTTGCCATGGTGTTGAATCAGTGAGCGGAAGTAATTTGGTTAAAATAAAAGAGATTTTTTTTTTTTCTTCAGATAAAATAGGCCAGAAGGGATGATTTTTGTCAGTTAATGCCACAAAGCTTTATATTTAGTTGTAGGACTCAGGAGCAGTGTTGGAGTAGGAGGGGAAGTAAGACCAGAACAGTAGGTTGTTCTTTATTCCCATGCATCCCACTGAAGACACATCTTCCTAAGGACAGTCTTTGTTTTGGACAGTGACTGATGGCTGCTTAGCAAGAGAGAGCACTGCATGGCTTCAGCCTTGAGATCACCTATGGCAGGCAGCACTGAGGTCTTTGGAAGGCTCTTGGCCCATTGGCCTGAAGGGCTCTCCACCTGAAAGCATGTGTAAGGTGCTCATGCCTTGTAACCTGGGAAGGTGATGGTCCACGTGTGCAAGTGATGTGCTTTCGGAGACATAAACCACTGGCTTTTTTTTTTTTTTAGCCTTGCTTCTCTCCTAATGATGATTCATTCAGTTACTGCCTCTTATCTACTCAGTCGGATTCTATTCATGGCACAGCTCCTTCAGGAAGTGTTTTCCCACATTTTGGAAAAAGTGTTGTGCAAGTCATGGGCTTTCTCACTTCAGAACCTGTTCCCAGCATTTTGTCCCTTGCTCACAATGCCAAACCATTATTACTACTTTGATTTCCTTAACTTTAGCTGTGGCATTACCCATAATGAACACTATCAGAAAGCAGCTGCTGAATATGTGCATGTGAGAGTAACTCCCCCATTATTTGTTGTAAGCGGGCATCTGAAAGTAAAGCAGTGTCAGGGCTGCTTGCAGCCCCATGATCCCTCGCGCCGGTGCAGCACTGGGGAGCCATGGGATCGGTGTCACCATGAGTGAGCAGACCAGTGGCATTTATCACCTAAGTGCTCTCCCCTCTGTGTCCACAGGGTGATGCAAAGCTGCTAAAAGGGACTGGGCACATATGTCCCTTGCGATAGGATGAGAGATAATGGCCTTAATTTGAGTCGGGGGGAGTGGGTTCAGATTGGATATTAGGCAAAATTTATTCTCAGAGAGAGAGGTGAGGCATTGGAATAGACTGCCCAGGGAGGTGAAAGAGTCACTGAAGAGTCACTGTCCCTGGAGGTGTTCAAGAGATGTGGCACTGAAGGATGTGGTCAGTGGGCATGGTGGGGATGGGTTAATCGTTGGACTGGGTAATCTTAGGGCTTTTTTCCAATCTTCATGATTCTATGAATGGCTTTACATGAGTTTACGGTTACAAACATCCAGTTCTACACTGGAAGCATGTCAGGGGGTAATTGCTCTGGACTGACAAAGGTTAATGCAAGGAGTCAACATTCACTTTTGTTTGGTGTCCTCAAGCAAATAGTCACATTTTCTGTGGTCATAGGACTACAGGCAGTTCTTCAAAACTTCTCACCATTCTCCCTTAAAACTTAATCCAGTTTTGCCACAAGTTGGTGTTTACATCAGCATTGATGTTTTCCTAATATTGTCTTATAATTACTGAAGTAAATAGTTTAGATATGCTGTGGGTTGGTTTCTTTTTTATGTCATATTTAGCAGCATTACATAAAGATGTTTCAAAGTGATGAAAGCTCAGAGCAGGGTCAAGCAGAGCACAGCTGTACCTGCCCATGCTTGCTGTGTGACCACACCAGCACACAGGGAACCCAAGTGACCGGCTTTGTGGCTGTGAATCCCACTGTGACAAGATTTCCTGGAGAAATTTGCAAAATACATGTTTACTGAGCACTGTGGAGAACGGTGCAATGATTTCTAATGTTAAGCCACAAACAAATACAGCTTTACTTTTTACCCACCCTTGAGATAATAATGTTTTCTTCCCATTAGTGTTTGCTGGGTGGCGTTAGGTCACATTTCCCAGCGCATAGTATGGATGTGATTCTGGAATCCTCCTCTCAATCCATATCCTTATTACATTAACCCAATGGACAGCTCTGCTGAAAAGCACCATTCTGTAGGGAGTTCAGTACTGGAATGCTGCTGCACTAAAGGGCATCTGGAATATGTCAGGGAATTGGTTTAGACCCCCCAGCTTGGGGCAGCCTCCTGTGCTTTTGCTGTGTTGTCTTGTTCTATCCCCTCCTTACTTGCTGGGAGCCTGGCTGAGTGATGGTTGAGTAGGGCCTTGTCCAGGGAGGACAACTTGAGCACCCCAAAGCCTGTCTTGGATGACAAACTGCAGCCCATGGGTCACTCTGGCTGCCAGTTCTGGTGTCTGAAACAAGAAGGCTAAAAGCATTACTTTTTACCCCAAACCAGAAGCAAACAGAATTGCAAAACAGCGAAGAGCTCCAAAACAAAAATCTCTCATCATTCATGCGGCACTGTGAAATGTGCCAGATCTCCCCCCAAAGCTAAACCTGGCCAGAACTTGTCTATTCTGTCTACTTTGATACTTTTAAGGAAGCCTTACGCACACTGGGCATAGCCAGGGCAGGAGTGAACTGTGTTTGCCATGGCAGAGAATACAGCTGTGCTCTGGGGTAGGATGAAGACTCATGGTGGAAAGCACAGGTTGCAACAGGCAGAGGAAGTTAATGGGGTTAAACTGAGTTTGTTGGCACTTTCTACAAGAGAAATGTGTTTCACAATAAAAGCCCTAGGAGACTTCTGTTTTATTAGAATGCAAAATATGCTCCTAATGAAAAGGGGATGGTTCACAGAGCAGGGCTGAATAGAAGCAGCTTATTTCAGAAAGAATAGCATCCTAGCATCCTTCTGCCCAGACACTCCCTTGAGTTAGCAAATCTGCTTTAGAATTTTTTCATGTGCTGATTGCAGGTTAAGGGTACACTGAAACTCCTATCTGTCAGAGCACCCCCTTGGTTTATCACCAGCTAGTCACATAGGCTGAATTATTCAGGTGAAAACAGAAGCACAGGAAGAGGAGGAGGCTCAGTACTGATCTAAGCTGCAGACAAACTGGTGTACAGCTCTATGCCTTGTTCACGTTTATCACATTAATTGGTAGACCATAAACATGTCTCTGCACAGTCTTGGATTAATTCCCACAGGAGACAACATACAGGATAAATTGGATTAAGTAAAATCAGATTAGTACAGTTGTGGGTTACTGAATGTTTCTTTCAGCCTGCCCTACAGGCGCTGTGCATAACACTTCAGGTCCTTCACAGATAAAGCAGTCAATGAGGTGCTGCTGATGCTAGATGCCGGAGGAGGGTCCCATCCCATTCCTGTCTACCTCACATAAAGTTTCATATAGCAATCAGACTGTACCAGGTTAAAATACATCCAAGCATGCAAAAGGGTGGTCCTTCTCCCCTGGGTCATGAGGACTTGCAGACTCTGCTGAAACACCAGAGGGACAAAGGCTGTAGGGCTTGTCCTGGTGGGCAGTAGCCTGTGCACTGTGTGTCTGAAGAGAGGGTTTGGTTACCCTCCCAGGCTACCTCCCTTAGTCAGGTGTATCAGAGCACAATGTCACTGACCTTGCACCATGTCAGCTCACTCAGCTGGTTCGCTAGGGAGAAAATAAGGTCTAGGCAGTTCCACATCACTGCCCAAGGTCTGCTCTGGGGTTGCTCAGGGACGCTAATTGTGAAGGAGGTTGTTACTCTTCTGCTGTGTAATTATACACCACACAGTCCAAGCCTTAATATAGCCCTGCATATACTCCTTTTGGTTCTCTTTACTGAAAAGAGACTCAGCCTTGGATCAAATATGCCTCCCAGCAGCGTAACCATATGTGATCATGGGGTGGATGCTGGTGCCCAGGGGCACTTGCAGCAGGTAAGGTGCTTGGTGTGTCTGTTGCCTTCAGTTTCTGCATCCCCAGGTCCCTTTTCCCACAGCAGTTAAATGTTGTGTTTGTTGAGGAGAGGTAGCAGCTTTCTGATTAAGCTGTAGAGGCAGCGAAGGAGGAGGGAGGCTGCTGGCTTCTGTGCTGGTTGTGTTTTAGAAGCAGTTGACGATTGCCGGCACATCGATTTCAGCAAAGAGCGTGTTGCCATCCTCGCTGTCAGAACTCTGCAGTTCACGATGAAAGCCTTGCTGAAAAATCATCCTTCTGCTGGTGAAGCCCAGGCCCCGGACTGTGAGGATGGCCATGATGTGCTCCTTCCTGCAGAAAGCAAGCAATACCAAAGATGGGCAAATAGCCCAGACGTCAGTGACCAACGTGTCATGGCAAGGTGCCAGGGAGGTGTGCCCTTGCTGTGTCAGAGAACTGAATGCGGTGTGACAGGGTGACCAAGATGGGATCTGCATCCTCCAGAGGTACCAGTGAGCATTGGCTTAGGGGCTCATGCTTAAGGGAATTCCTTCTGTCTCCTCCCACACATGACGTCTTTTGCAAGTTTTCCCAAGAGGCTGCAGACCTTTTATTAAATGATTATTTTGAGTTAAGTAATGGAAGTGCTAATATTTAGGAAGCTGGCAGGCATTAATTAGATTACATCTAGGAAAGTGAACTTGGAAACATACCCTGTTCTAGTAATCTCAGTATGTACCTCTCCGAGAGCTCAGGGGAAGAATTAACAAAGGCACAAGCAGGAAGCCATGCAGGACTAGCTGGTTCCGCATAGTTTTCCAAAGTTAACTGTTCAAAATATTACTCAATAATGGAATGCCAGGAAATAGGTCAACCAAGAGGACAAGCCTTTAGACTTGGCTTGAGTCTAAGGATAGTGATGAAAAAATGCCACAAATCTCAGCCTTGTAAATGGTTTTTCTGCATGGAAAATTGTTTTTAAATAGATAATTCTGATCAGCTCTCATTTACATTCCTATCCTTCCCAGAATGAGCACTGCCTCCTTTTCAGCATACTGGCATCAAGGCATTTCTTTGTGGAACAGATGTGTTCACCAAGGAAATTACTTAGGAACAGATGTCCTTTTTCAAATCCCTGTCCTGGATTTTCCAACCCAGGTAAGATCAAGATACGTCTTTTTTTTTTTTTCTTTCTTTTTTTTTTTTTTTCCTTCTCCCCCGAATATTTGAGGATCCATTTCAGTATTTTGAGCAATTTGTTAAACTTATAGTTTAAATTGACTGCACAAATGTTATCCAGCAGGAACAGCATAACCCAGTACCAGCGCTTTGGGTCTTCAGAAATGATTGTTGAAGTGGATTTTCCTGCAAGCAGTTCTACTGATGATTCTAGATTCTTGTCAACTATTGTTGGAAAAACTATAGAAGAAGAGACAAATAGCTTCTGTTATGCAGTTGCCCATCCATGGATGGAGCTAGTAAATTAATTTGTTTACTTTACCAGTAGTATTAAATTTTGCAGATGCTGCTTTGGAACAGCAAATGGAAACTACAAAAGAAAGAATCTGCAATTTGTTCCAAGACTTTGTGGTTGTGTTGAGCCCCTTTCAGAAACTGCAGATGAACTGTGTCAGTGTCTTTGGCAACTGGAGGCCTGGTCTTGGGAAGGAACAGGAGACAAACCCTCACCGGCCAATGGATGAGCTGTGCAAATGCTGCCAAAAGCAACCCGTAGCTTTAAAGTGCAACAAAATTGACTTGGAGCGATACAATGAAAAGGCGTTTGAGGTTACTTGTGTGTATCATGACATCCGTCAGACAGTGGAAAAGGAAAGTATGCAGCCATCAGAAAGAAAATTAACCTGGGATTCCTCTTGAATGCTGGCAGCTTGGCATCTGAGGAGAAAGGTGCTGAAAAGCTTGGCTGAAGTATGGGGTGAGAAGGTGCTGTTGGGATGGAGCCCAGCTCTCAGCTGTTGTGCATTACTGCAGCTTCTGCCATTTCTCCTACCTGATGTCTGGGTAATCCTGAGTCAGTTCCTTGACGTACTCCTTGATCCTGTCTTTTCTCTTCTCTCCAATGATATTGGCGATGTGACTTATAGCAGGAAGGAGCCAGCTGGAGTCTGAGCCCTGTGAGCAAGAAGTTGCAGCAGGACATTTGTGGGAATGTTTTTGTCACCATGGAGAGGAACCTGCCTGGCCAGGGAACAACCCCAGTGGGATTTAGCACCTGTACCTGACATTCTGCAAAACCCAATGAGTTGAACTTTGGCTTTCCTGAAAATCTCAGCCCAATATTATCTAGCCACAAAACACATAAACTACTCCATTCCATTCTGTTCTACCCTACCCCATCCCATCCCATAATTCCTTCTCCCCATCATATTCCATATACGGGCTGTGCTGGGATGGATTCTCACTGGTATCACCTCCATAAGCTGCACCCAAAGGGATCCTTCAGAGGAAAGTGGCATCCCATGGCCCAACAAAACATGAACAATGATGCCTATGGTCCTATAGCATGAGAACCACTCTGAGAAGTTTAGAAATCTGTGGGCTACGCTCAGAGTAACCTCCAGGATAGAAATTCACACTGTTAACCTGGACTGAGTACCTTGTTTGTTCTGCTTAAAGCACTTTAACAGGCTTCCCTTCTCTGAAAGCCTCCAGTATTGGTTCCCTGGGGTCAAATAAGGATATTGCACCTATGGGAATGGGGCAGCCAGGGGATGCCAGGACAGAGCTGACGTACATGATCAATGAGAGCATTATTAAGGATTTTGGCTTCCAGGTTTATCCTTTCGCTCACTTGCTGCCGTTTCTCTCCATTCATTTTCTTCTTGGGTTTGATGATCTGCACAATATATTCCCTTACCACGTACTTATGAACATGGCATAGAAGTTCCTGTTTTAAGAAAAAACAAATATAATGTATTTTCCACGGTTCCTTTGCAAGGTCATGGCAATAAGGGAGAGAGGGTAGGGGAATCCTCAGTACTTTAACTGCAGCTGAGGGTGTACAGGAAATGCTCACAGCCCTGTGCTTGACACAGGGCTGAGGAAGTACCAGTAGGAATGCCACAGAAATACTCTCTACACTAAAATAGCCATGACTATATGTTGGCAGTTTGGCTCCTCAGTATTAACAGGAGGTATTTAAGATTGTTTTAGAAGTAGGTTTTGATGGTGCTTGCAGATTTTAAATATAAAGCCGTTGCTATGTACCCATTTATTTCACAACTGCACAGATGTGAAGGGAGCATATGAAGGCATACGAGTTTGTGATTCATGCACTTACAGTGTTCAGTGCTGATGCTCACCATGCATTTTATTCCTCTTTAAAGAAATCAGTTCCCATATTTAACCCACAGAAAGGAAAGATGTTGCATGTTCTCACATGGTGCTGGATGACAGCTGAACGCCCCTATTCCAGCAGTGCCCATGGTTCTAAACAGCCCCTGCTGCTGAAAAAAGGCTGCAGGTTGGGCTGCAACCTGCAAGAGAAAGCAGTGCCCCACAGAATCGCTGTGCCTGGTGTGGGAGCAGTCACATACCTGTCCCAGGGGCTGCCTTGTGTGCTGCAGGTGCTCTGAGAACTGCGAGACTGCTGCCGCCAGTGAGTTTGGCTTCTCTCTTGCCAAAATCCAGTCCTTGGTTAGGATTTTCTTGAGGAGTGGCTGAAAAAAGACCAACTCAATAGTATCACTGGGAATATTCAGACTAGTTGGATCCCTAACTAGACAGGAACCATTGGGAAGTGCTTTAAGTTGTTATCTGGACACTCATCCTATGTTCTTATTTCAGGCTCAAGGGTTGCTTCAAGCAATCCAAAGCCCAAATGGTTTCTTGATGCCAACTATCTCCTTGCTCATTAACATTTCCATTAACTTAACAATCTGCCTGGCTTTTCATGGGGAGTGAGCCACAGCTGTGTCTCCACAAGGAAGTATAGAAGGTCCTTGCTCAATGGACTGTAGGGGCTGTCTGCACTCCCTGTATCTCTGCAAGGTCCCACTGAGATTTTTCTTCTGCTCACTGCTCTGATGTGGCAGTGGGAGGATGGTAGCTGAGAGCATCCTGCACTTAATGCACTGTGGTCAACTGTGTGTATCACCTGTCCTGGATACAAGGTGCACTGACCAAATATGCCCAGAAGGCTCTTTCCCTTGCCATGGAATTAATTTGACTCCATACTGAAACAGGGAAATATCTGCTAAAGGATTCTGGTGGTACCCAAAAGAGATTCCCCTATGGGACAAGTTTAAAAAATCCCTTCTCTAGCACATCCCCATTGTCCTTTTCTCCACTTAGCACTCAGGATTTCTGTCTTAAGTCTGTTGTCTGTGTTGCTGGCCATCTCATTCCCAATTATTTCCACCCCGCTGTGCTCCCAGCCTGCTGAAGGGCTGTTTAGAAACGCTGTGCCTCGGCAGCTCTCAGTTCTCACGGCATTTCAGCTTTCTTGCTCAATGCCTTGGCTTGGCTCCTTCCTCGTTTGCCCCTAAGGCTCCGAAACAAATGCTGTAGTCACTGGAAAGTCCCCTTGGTCAAGAAGGCTTGCCTTTGGTCAGAGGCTTCTTGTTGAGTGTCTGCCTTGGTTTCTGAAAGTTTGTGCTTGTTAATTTAGAAAGTGATTTAGAATGAGTGAAAAGTAACGTCACTAAAGGCTGAATTTTCCCCATCTCTCCCATTATTCCAAGCAGAGCCAGTGGCTCCCAACAGCTGAGAAAGCCTACCTAAAGCACCTAGGAAGCACAATCTACATCACAGCATTGTGCCTTTTGGGTCTCTTTACATGAGTTTGCCCAGAGAAGCAGACACCAGAGCTATTATCTTCATGGTGAAAGAATCAATCTCTCTTCACCATGGGAACAGACTGGAAAAATCACTTTAACCAGGAAATATCCTGTTCTGTCTCAAGAGGCTATGATCTATCTTTTAGGCAGAGGCTGATAATGAACCATGATAGTAGATCTCTGAATAAATGAGAGTAAAACAAAGTTTTGATAAATTGAGACTTTTTGTTAGGAAAAAAAAACCCTGTCAGTGCTGCCCTGCTGAATTCCCAGTACTTCAACCTGGGTAAAGTTCCCCTCACTGCTTTGACCGAGAAGCTGGAAACCACTGAATACCCTTTTGTTTTGGTTCTATACCATTGTCATAGTGAAAAACTCCACAGATTCTGGAAGTGTCCCTCTGGGTAATGGAAGATCTGTGCATTGGGCATGATGCATTTTGCAGGGACCACAGTGCAGCACAATTGGGTCTAGTTGATGTGTCAAGTAGAGGGCAATGGCCCTCAGCTTCTGCACTGGTCCTGCCCATACAGCTTACATTTAGGGAATTATGTGGCTGAGACTTACCTGTGTTTTTGTTCTTAATTTATTTAAAAACACATTTCTGAAGTTCTTTGTCAGAGCTGCCAAAATCTTTTGCAGTTCTTCAGTGTTGACTTGGAACACTGTTTCTAAGCCTGACCTAAAGGGAGAGGAACACCGGGGGGGGAGGGGAGGGTTAGTGTGTAGGTATAAACCAAGCATTTCAGTCAGATCAGTATCTTGGGCATTTTTTCAACTTCTATAACTCCAGTACTTCCTTTTGGAAACTCTTAAGGGGTCAAAATACTGAATAGTTTTACGCAATCCAATTTAATCACAAATGAGTAAGTGTGCATTAAAAAACACCTATTTCCTCATCAGGTATAACAGTTCAAATATGCAGAACAATTACTCAAGCATGTTGCTTTTTCACTTGAGACACACTTAAGTGAAATGATCTCCAGATACCCCCTGCTATAGGCAGGGACACCTCCTTTTAGACCAGGTTGCTCACAGCCCCATCCATCCTGGCCTTGAACACTTCCAGGGAAGAGCATTCCCAGCCTCACTGGGCAGCATGTTCCAGTGTCTCACCACTCTCACAGTAAATAATTCCTTTGTAATATCTAGTCTAAATCTGCTCTCTTCCAGTTTAAAGCCATTTCCCCTTGTCCTCTATGTGCCTCATACATACTACATGCCCATGTAAAAAGTCCCTCTCCAGCTTTCCTCTAGGCCCCTTCAGGTACTGGAAGGCTGCTGTAAGGTCTCCCTGGAACCTTCTTTTCTCTAGGCTGAAGAGCATGAACTCTCTCAGCCTGTTCCCATACGGAAGGTGCTGCTGCCTCCTGATCATCTTCATGACCCACCCCTGGACCTGCTGCAACAGTTCCATGTCCTTCTTGTGTTGGGGACCCCAGAACTGGATGCAGTACTCCAGCTGTGGTCTCACGAGAACAGAGGGGCAGAATCACCTTCTTCAGGCTGCTGGTCACACTTCTCTTGATACAACCCAGGATATGGTTGCCCTTCTGGGCCATAGGAACCAAGGCAGCACCACCAAAATAATTGTGATCCCATGCACACCCTTTATGTGCCACGTTCATTTCTGAGTCTCAGAGCACATCAGGTTGTTTCTATGTCTGAGGCTGCCCAGACAGGGATTTCACAGAAAAACAACCAAAATGAGAGGAATAGGAGCCCCATCACTGAGCTCCCAGCAGATGGGCTGTTTGGGACCCCAGGTTCTGATGCTGGGGCACACGCAGTCCAGCAACTGCCAGCACCTGCCAACCCCGTGCTCGTCGTTGGCTTCACCTCTTCCTGCCAGGAGGGGGAACTGGAGGGAACGGGGAAAGGCAGCGGAGAGCATCGCTGGGGACGCCGTGCCACCTAGAGCCCGCCCGGCGATAGTGTCGGTTTGTTTGCAGGTTGTGATTTCGCAGGATTTCCTCCAGCCTAGCGCCGAACTTAGCAGGCAGGCTGGGTTTGTGTTACTAATTATATATATAATAAGATATATATACATACAAAAAGGCAATCTTCCTCTTGGCTAGAACGGCAGGCTGAAAATGAGTCTAACAGGCAAGCGCCACATTCATTCCCACTTCTCTCTCCACCCTTCTGCCCAAGTGAGCTGACTTTGCATCTGCATCTCTTAGGGAACATCCCCCCCCATGAGGTGGACAGCGGACGAAAGGCAGAGTTCCCAGCTCCCATGCCCAGGCTGAGAGGAAGGCATTAGGCTAGGGCACCCCAGCGCAGCTCCCCCAAATCCAATGCATCCCTGCATCTTCAGCCTGTCCTACAGTACCCCTTGGGCATCCTTTTTGGCTGACTCCATCCTGATGCCACTTGGTTCTTTCTCTCCATCCCTCGCCTCCCCTAAATGGAGAGAGATGAGGACTTACAAGAGGTCATGGAAGCTGTTGATGTAGGCAGCAAAGTAGGGTGCAAACATGGGACTGTCATGGACTGCGTTCCACTCCAGGAACTCCTCCCCGAACCTGCAGGAGAAATGCAGAGGATGCTGTCGGCAATGGGAACAGAGCAAGAGGCAGAGCATTGCTCACATTGCGTGTGTGGGATGTCAGAAGACACTGGTTGGTGGCCCAACCTCTCTGCTTATATGGACTTTTTTTTTTTTTTCAGTTGTCTTAAAATTCATGTGCATTACAGGGGAACACATAGCAGGTAATTACTGGTTTGGGGTATGCTTGCCTGAATGTGTAAGCAGCACAGATTTGGAGAAATTCCAAGGATGTCTGCACATGAGAGATTCTGAGTGAAATCCCTGACTTTCTCTTGCTCTGAGGGAGGCTGGGATATGCAAACTTGTCGACCTGTGCAGCCATATCTTTGGCTTTTGGAGCAGCGCAGGTTATGTCCTCCTAAGCACATTTTACAACAGAAGCTGAAGCTGAACAAAGCAAGACACCATTGCTAGGAACCCAGCTCCTTGGCTCTGACACCCAGGACCCCACTGTGCAGGAGGCTGCAGGCTGGGGCAGGTTTTGCGTGGGCTTGCCCAGGCTCCATTCCTTTGGCAGCCCAAAGCAAGCTGCTTGGAGCAGCCTCAACACTCGCTCCTTGTGTTTGTCTAAGAAAAAGCTTAAGTTTCAGTGAGCCTTTCATCTAGGAGCCTTTACTGTCCTGGCTTGCGCTTTACATCAATAAGTACTGCATTGCTTCTATAAAGCCAAGTAGCTGGTTTGAACTGCTCTGCTCACTCAAGATATCATAAACAAGTTGGGACATGAGAGTTTGAAAGAGAAAGTGTTGCCTATAGCATATTCTGAACACCTGCCATGCCCCAAGTTCACGATCTAAGCAGGCAGAGCTTGCTCTCCCCCACATGCACCTCAGCAAAGCATCTATTAGCAAACTACCCACTCAGCGCCTGCCGGAGGAGTGAAACTCTAAAGGTTAATGCAAAATTATTTTTAGTCTCACTCAGAGTTGATTCATGCTGAACATCCTTTCTTTCCCACTATGCTATGGCCTCTTCAAAATGCGGCCCTCTCAGCATGGAGGGGCATGCAGAGTGGTGCTGAGGGGTTGGGGTGTTTCATCTGCCAGCCCAAATCTTCCCTGGGGAAATCCCCAAGGCATCTCAAAGTCTGGAGACATAACTCAGGGACTACACCCAAGAAGAAAACTGTTATTTCAAACGTTGCTCACTTGTCATTCTGAACCTGAGATAATTTGCCCAAGGTCCTGTCAGCTGTGTTTCAATGCCCATAGCCATGGGATGCAGGAAAATCACAAAATCACAGAATGGATGAAGTTGGCAGCGACCTCTGTGTACATCCGGTCCAACCTCTGCTCAAGCAGAACCACTCAGAGCAGGGTGTCCAGGACCACATCCAGACCTTTTGGTGACCTCTGAGGAGGAGAGATCAAAGCTTCTCTGGGGAGCCTATGCCTTCATTTAGTCAAAAACCCTCTTGGCAGGAGCTCCCCCGTATGAGGGACAATTAGGGGATATTTCGGGCAAGCAGCCTTTGGGGTTGGGATTCTTTAGATGCTGCTTGCTGGTGGCTGCTGCTGCCAATGATCTGTGTCCAATGCAGCAAATGTCCTGGGCAGATGGGACAACAGTCCTTTTCCAGGCTCCTTCCTGGAGCATCGGCCTCAAATCTTGGGACTTACAATAGTCCCATCTAAGTCTATTTATGACACCCTCCAAGTTGTTTGCAGCTTGCTCATTATCAGGCTCCCAAGTGCAGACTTACACCTGCTCCAAGCCAGAATTCAGCCCAGTGCATGAACCTTTTCCCTTGATTTTTACCAACTAATTTGAAAGGAATGCACTGCCCAGAGCGAGTATGACCTTGGTATGAATTCATGCAGCTCAGCCAGGCACAGCTCAAGAGTTTTTGTTTTCAGCTTTTTACTGATGGCTTCAGATAACTTCATGTGCTCCCCGATGATCTAGAAAATGGCAGGGAAAAGCTCCAGTGAATGGGACAAACATAATACAACACAACTTGGGGAGCTAAGCCATGCCCCCTCTGTGCTCCAGCCCCTCCTGATTCCCACTGCATTGGCTTCGCTTGACTCAACAGAGTTTGGCTGCATCCCATCCGTCTGCTGGTCCAGCTCAGATCTCCCTACCTGGTGATCAACCAACATACAATAGTATTCCATAGAAATGAGTCACGGTAGCAGCCAACTCTTTGATTTTCTTGCTTTCTTTCTCTTCCTATTTCTCTCTCTCTCTCTCTTTTTAATTATTATTATTTAATTGAAATGACTAAACCCTATTTAAAATGAGGAAAATGAATCCAACCCCCTCCTGGATTTATTACTCTATGGGCCCTAGAGCTAGCAGGAGCCTTTGTTTTTTTTTTTTTTGTGCTGTTTAAATTGAAGTGGCTGTCCCTGCCTACAAACCTGTGTGGCAGCCGCAGCCCTGGGACAAAGTTGCTCTTTCAGTAAAGGGGTCTTTCTAACAACCCTTTTCTTTCTGCCTTTCTTTTTCCCCTCTTTCTCTTTCCTAATCAAAGAGATTTAAAGACTTTAAAATCAGTTGCCTATTATGTTGCTGACACAATTGACAGCAGGTTTAATTTGCAGCTAGAAGGCAAGCGGCAGAGCTAAAAGTTGTAATAAATGGCATTTTCTGCTCTAATGTATTCAGTGAGCGCGTGACTCACATCCATTATGGCAGCACCGGGAGCCACCACCATGCACCCCGTGCTGTGCTCATGCTCATTAAGTACCGTCTGAATGTCAAAGGAAAGCGAGGTCTGGTACAGGTTATCCTTCACTTCTGGGGGAACTTCCTTCTCCCATTTTTCCGTCACTTCCAGCATCAGGATGTTTCCAAAATAGCTCTTGATTTTACCCTAAATGATAAATATGGGAAGGAAGAATGCATATCAGCAGATAAAGCCAAGTATGGGTGAAGCAGCTGGTGGGTATAAGGGGATAAGCAGGGCTGGGGCTTGTCCCGCCAGGGCAGTGGTGATGGAGGGGACCAACATGGCACAACTCTCAAGCGCTGCACTCCCCAGGGCACCTCCCTCCCTCCCTCTGCTCCCTTCAGTGGCTGCTTTGCAATGAAAGCTCCCAGCACAGAGCTGACATATGATGTTTTACGTATCAGCATATGTGAGCTATACTTGAGCTACGCAAAAAATAGGGAGTCTTGGTACAGAACCTTTCAGTCTACACAGGATCTCAGGAAAAACCTGGAGATGCGTGCGACACTGTTCTCTCAAACTGAGATGCAGTGATTCCTCTGGCAGGAAGATTTATACTATTACTTTGCAGGAAAGGTATTTAAACCTCCAGATCATTTACTTAGCCTGCGGTGTTTGCTTGGAAAAAATCCCAACTGCCTGCCCTAGTGGTAGCTCAGTCAGCTGCTTTACCACTGAGTGGTAGCTCATTGCAAAGTCCTCTAGCACATGTTAGGCACAAGGTCAGGCTGAAGGATCAGACCAGCTCTTTCTGGCTCACAGCACTTGCGTAAGTGCTCGGCCCTGACTGATAAATCAGCCTTGTTGCTGGTAAAACAAAAGGGCCCTTACCAAAACAACAGAGCAAAACTGATTTTATTCAGTTGGTACCTTGAGCTCACCTTGAGAAAATTCTGAAATGAAACCTACTTCAGAAATGGTTTTTAAGAAAATGAAATGTCTGAGCCCACCAAACAATAGTACAAGAGTATCAGCCAAGGATGGCAGAAGGATATCTGACGTGGGGGCTTCCTGCAAGGAGGTGAAGCACAGAGAAGTCCTCTGCTGGGGACATGCCCAAAGTTGCACATGGCTCAGCATGGTTCAGCCGTGCTGTAGGAGCTCACATGCTCTAAATCCAGCAGCTAACATTTCTTTATGTTTATCTTTGCAGTGCCTTTCCTGCAAAGCAGCACAGCAGTGTGTCCCTGCCATGCTCTGTGGGTGCCATCATAGTGGGTCTACACCAGCCATTACCCAGGTCCAGGCCTGGATTTAGGCGGCCTTCTTTGGCCCCAGCATTACTGAGGACACTTGCTGTTAACTAAAGGGTTGTTCTCAAATGGTGCTGAGAGGACTCAACACCATGGTACATCATAAAGGGGAGTTATAAGAAGGAAGGAGACAGACTGTTTAGCGGGGTCTGTTGTGATAAGACAAGGTGAAATTATTTCAAACTAAAAGAGGGGAGATTTAGACTGGATATAAGGAGGACATTTTCTACATTAAGAGTGATGAAACTCTGGAATAGGTTGCTCAGAGAGGTGATAGATGCCCTGTCCCTGGAGACAGCCAAGCTTAGCGCCTGATGAAGCTGCAGTTGTCCCTGTTCACTGCAGGGGGTTGGACTGGATGCCTTTTAAGGGTCCCTTGCAACTCAAACGATTCTATGATTCTATAATAATATAGCAATGAGAAACCTCTGCCTGGGAGGCCAGAGTCCCAGTTCCCTTCCAAGAGACACATGGATACAAGAGAAAGGACCTTACCTTTACAGAAGTGATGTAATCATCATTCAGTCTATCCCAGTCCGCTGTTGTTAGCAGCAGGGACAGATTTTTTGTCTCAACTTCTGGTTTGAGATCAGAGTGACCAAGAAAGAGTTCACTGGAAAGATCCAAAGGAACAAATTATTGGAACAAATTATTATCATGCTTTGGAGCATGAGTAAACCAATGGAATATTCATGTGGCATGAGCTGCGTAATTATTAAGCCGTGAGAAATATACTTAAAGCTTAAATTGTGATGCTTGTTTTCAAGCTTTAACGAGAAAATCTTTCTTTGCTATTCGAAATCCTAATTATTCAAAATCAAAATGATCTAAAGTTGCAGCCCACCTTAGAAATCATGAGACTTCTGAGTTGTTTGGACATGAAAAGTGCTATGAGAATTTACATTTTTAAATAAACAACATGAAGCTGATTCATTTGCTTATGGTCCCTTATAGCTTATAAAGCTGATTCTATGAAATGCCTTTCAAGGCAGTTCCTGCAGCAGTGTGCTGAGTGCTGATGTCCCTAGCTAGTGCCACATCACGGCAAACATCTGCCAGTTCTTTATCACTGTGGGTTGCATATAGGAAAGGGAGATGGCAGGACAGGGCTGGCTGTGAGGGGCAGCGTTTGGGAAGCCCACACGTGCCTGCAACACGGGCAGTCCCAGCACTACGTGTCCTCTGCACACGGTGGCAGTGGGTGGACATCGAGCTACAGCAGATGAGTGCAAAGTGAGACAGGTGACACGTGTCTCTTCTGCTCACTTTCCTCCGCAGTGCTGAGGAGGCGGGGCAGCTGGGGCAGGGGAAGGGAGGCAGTGCCTGCCTTCCACTCTGCACGGCAAGAAACCTGTTATTAGTCTGTGCAACTGAGCGTGTTGCCCCTGTGATCTGCCAGCAGACCACACTGCATCTTTCACTGTGATGATTGTGGAGAAGAAGAGGAAAATATTCACGAACTTGCTTGATGCAGGGCATAAGTTGCAAGCAATCACCTGTTAGCAAGGAAGAAAGATGCAAAGGCATTATTCTATATGCTGCCTGTTCACTTGCTTGACCACTGAAAAGGGGTTCCTGTAGCCAAACCACTGAGCACAGAGCTGGGTTTGGATCCAAGGCAAATGAGGACTGTACTGTGCAAGGTCAAACCACTGCAGAATGATGGCTCAGCAGAAAAATCTCAGCCTGCTGATAGCAAACTGGAGTCAATATTCCTGTGGTCACGGTTCAGGTTTCCTGGAGAGGGACTTCAGTACACTGGGGCATTGGCACTCTTTAACTCCCAGAGCACTGCATGATATTATGATGTGGAATACAGATGAAAACCATGAAACCATGACACTGGCCCAGCTGCTGCAAGAATCTGCTGCTTCTTCACAAGGACACAATGGAAATAGCAATAACTTTCTGCTATGACCGAGAGGGTTGGCTCAAATGTGCACCGAAGAAGCATATTCCCTTTTCTCTCTTTTTTCATTTGTTTGAGCTGTGGCATTAACAATGAGCTTGGGCCAGGTAATTCCTGCTAATTTGGGATGGGTCCAAAAGAGGATGAAGTTCTTTTAGAATGAGAAAGTGAAATGGAAACAATCCAACACAGCAAAGCGATTGCAAGCAGTGCTCTAAACAGCTGCAAGCTCTCCATATATTTTTTTACATCAAGTTAGAGAAATATGGTGAGGACACTGTACTGGGCTGCAGAACTTGGCTGCTGACACTCACTTATTCCCCTGACTCCTGCAAGCATTACTCCCACAGCATTCCTGTCCAAAGAGTTGATCATCCAATGCCATGTTGCTGAAAGGATTGTACACACATCACCAGGCTCACCTCACCATAAACAAGATTTTAGGAGCAAATGGGAGGTTTACAGAAGAAATCTGTTGACCACCTGTGGTGCAAATGTTCCCAAGCCAAAAGTTACTGTAGAGCAGGAGTGCTCTAAGCAGGCTAATGCTGCTTGCCCTGCTCTGCCTCACATTTCATTTCAGCCACTGTTAGGCACAGTTTTGGTATTCCTACCTTCATTCCTTTTTCATTAGTCTAGGATGAGCCAGTTGGTTTGTGTTTGTTCCATCCTGGGCATCTATTTAGTTCCTGGAGACCATCTAGAAGTATATATTGTGGTAGACATGATTTTGTTCTGACATGGTTGTTCTTGAATACTTACTAACAAACTCATCTCCTGTGGATGGTGCCTCACTCCTCCTTCCCACCATACTGTGTATTCCTGCTGGATTTTAGTCTTTGAGGTTGAGGTGATGGCCTGTGGTCTAAGCTGGTGAACAACTGAAGACACGCAATGCCAAGACTTCCCATGGGTACCTATCTTAGATTTCTCCTTTTGCTTCAAAAGAAGGCAATGCTGAAAAGCACAGCTACTGTGAAGAACTCCTGCCTTTACTCCTCAAACCCAGTCTACCCTAAGGATGTTGTTTGATATGTCCATGCAGCTCCCAGCATATTTTGGGCATTGCTGAATTATGGAAAGCTTTTAGAGGTCCTAAAATCGTGGACTTCCCATTCAATCAACCAAGAGCCCTGAGCCACAGCCCTGGAGACATTCAAGGTTATGCTGGACCTGACTGAGCTGTGTCCCAGTTCATTGCAGGGGAGTTGAACTACATGACTTTAAGGGTCTCTTCCAACTCAAATGATTCTATGATTCTCTGTTTCAATGTGTTTAACTCCTCATAGTGGTATCTTGGCAACTCCTCAAGCTGGCTATGACCCCTGAGTATATAATAAGGATTATTTCCAAATGCACGGTGGTTTTAATTAAACAGGAAGAAGGCAGAGTTCCACCACAGGGCCTTTCCTGTGCCTGGAAAAGTCACTGAGCAGCTGCTGGACCTGGCAAAACATTTCCAGAAAGTGAGGAGGTTTATCAGAGCTGCAAGGCAGCTCTTGAAGAGTGAGCTTCCTGATGTGTGAGAACAGTAGCTTGGAGAGGGAGGAGGAACCGAGGAAACAGATCTGTGAGAAACAGTGAGTGTTTTATTCTCAAACCTTTGTGCCCACCTGTCAGTAGTCTAGTTATCTGTCTCTACTAAATAAGCAATTATGTCTCTGCTTGCTTAGAAAACCAAAAATAACTGTGTGTTTTGAAGCTTCCTGGCAGCTTGTCACTCTGGAAGGAGGCTGAGATGTGTGGTGAAGGCAGCAGCTTACCTGTGGTAGGTGTTGGCCATCCAGTCAAGCAAGGAATAGAGCTCACTGAACTCCAGCGGTCTCTGAGAAAGATCTTGCAAGTGTGAGGCGATGGCATTGTGAAAAGCCTCCACATACACTTCACACACCCGGTACTCCTCTGGGTAGCACTTTTTTACTGATGACTTGATTTTCAGTAAGTCTTCGAGCAGGTATTTCTGGAGAAAACTTAAGTGGAGATCAAGCCAGGCTTTCTCTTCTTCCTTTGATGCCATGGGTATGCTCAGAACTCTCTTTCTAGTGCCCTCATTAACAGCTTCCTTCCACTCCTCCCTCCACTTTCTGGGTGCTCCAAGCAAGTCTGACCCAGGATCAGCAGCATTGCCTGTATTAGGATGAGCTGCCTCTTCACGGGCAATTAATGTCACCAGGGAGGTCAGTGTGGACTCCTCCACTGTGTGGTTCTCCAGTGTTCCCACCACGATGGACTGGATCATGCTCGTGATAGAGCTGTAAAGTAAATCCACATCCTTGGCTTTCCTCAAAAATTCCTGGGGGTTATCCTTGTATTTGTCTGCGTCCCGTTCTGCTATCATCTCATCTTCCATGTACTTGATGCTTGCAAATGCTTCCAGAAGTTGCTTTTTCTGAATAAGTTCATTGATTTCCATTACTGAATAAAGAAGAGGAGAAAGAGGTCAGGACAAAGCAGGTGCTAGATGCTGGACAGGCCAATAGAAAGATAAGATATCCCACAGGAAGATGTGCAGGACTGCTCTGAGCAGCCGCTTACTGCAAAGTCAGAGCCTTATCTTTAAACTGCTTGTTTCAGACACTGGAAATACAAAAAAAAATTGATCATAGCCCTGCAGGTGAACCTCAAGCAGTGGCTAACAAGGCTGTGCTGGGATCTCATGCTGCATAGACTGCCTCTGGCTCTGCTAATTTGAAGCCAAAGTGGGACTGGCAGCAGGAACAGCTCTTTATATATACTCTCAGCAGGATTCCTGTTAGCAGAGATGCTCTTCTTTCCCACACTATCAAGACTCTGGCCTAGGGGATGTTCCTGATATTTTGGGAATGTTCCAGTTAAAATGCAACCTTGGGCTAATCCAGGGCTCCCTCCTGTCCTGATTTTTTGTATCTTCCACAGTGTATAAGTTTTCCTGAATCACAAAATGGCCAGGGTTGGAAGGGACCTCAAGGATCATGAATCTCCAACCGCCCCACCACAAGCAGGGCCACTAACCTCCCCATTTAATACCAGACCAGGTTGCCCAAGGCCCCATCCAACCTGGCCTTGAACACCTCCAGGGACAGGACACAGAATTCTCTGAGTTGGAAGGGACCCTTAAAGGGTCCCCCTGCACTGAACAGGGACACCCACAGCTCCATCAGGTGCACACAGCTCCGTCCAACTGATCTTGGCCGTCTCCAGGCTTGGGGCATCCACCACCTCTTTGGGCAGCCTGTTCCAGCACATCACCATTCTCATAGTAAAGAACTGAGAGATATCCCTGACTGCCATCATGGCTAAACTGGCTCATGCATTTCTGAGGGCTGAGCTTTGGGTGTCCAAACTTTTGGCTTGCCTGAACTGCACTGAGTGAACAGGAATTTTCTTGTGCCATATTTAAAATACATAATAAAGTTAGTTGTTATAAGTAACAAAACTTATTTTTTAATGTGCTTTTGTTGTTGTTGTTAAAATATAAAAAACAGCAATAAAAGCATAAAACTAGTGAGATGTTTAACCTTGTTTTTTTTTGTGAAAATAATGCATCAGGCTGATGTGCCCACAGTTCTCAGTGAGCTCTCAAGGTGCTCATCAGAGATTTTTGATGTAATATTACTTTTCCTATGCTTCATCCTTAGCAATAATTGTTCACAAATATACGTGCTGTGATGACATGATTAAGCCATAGCTGTGCAGTGAGAGATATATTTCTCTGATAAGATAGAAAAGTCTGGTAAAGAGAGATGACCAAATTTTCATTTGAGTTGAATGTCTGATTGCATCTCTGATTGCATCTCTATGGATTCCATTTGAAAATTTACAGGTAATGTATTTATACTAACTGAAAATGGAATCACAAGTATACAGAAAATGATACTCTGGGGGGAAATCTTGAAACTTATTCTCAGACTTCCTTGTACAAACAGAAAGCATGGCTGCATATTTTTCACTGTTCACAGGACTGTGGTTGGCCACTGTATCAAAATGCCTGAAATTATTTGCCATAATTTAAGTTTTATTTCAAATGCTGTTATGGCTTCAAACATAGGATGGATAAGTTGATTTTCACCTTGAAGATGCACATTTAAGTGATTTAAATGAGTGGTCAAATCCACCAGAAATTTGTGAGCCATTTTTAATCTTCATGTTCTGCCACAAATTTTCCTTTTGATTCCATAAAGGGCTTGATTTCACTTTTGGAAATCATGAAGTCTTTTTTAGCATTTTCCTCTAATTTAGCCACCTTCCTTCAGAAAAGTAAATGATGACCCAATGATCAGCATCAATAGTTTCAAGGATCTTTTAGAATTGGTGATGATTCAGCCCTTTGGACTTCATGAAATTCACAGCTTTGATGACAATTTGCATTACGTTATCCAAAAACTTGAACATAGGATGTTTTGCAATAACATAAGGATGAACTTATTTATGATATGGGTGACAGAGCACTGAAACAGTCTGCCCACAGAAGTTTTGGAGTCTCCTATGGAGATATTCAAGACCTGTCTGGACACCTACGTGTGTGACCTATTGTAGTGAGCCTGCTTTAGCAGAGGGGTTGGACTTCATGAGCTCTTGAGGTCCTTTCCAACCCCTTTAATTCTGTGATTCTGTGATCTCTTGTTAAAGCTTTCACTTCTAAATTTTCTTGATGTCTGATGCAGTGATATTTCATCAGACATGAGCTGGCAGTGGTAGTTACGTCATCTTCTATTAATTTTAAAAGTCTCTCTTTTCTGCCAACCATCACTGGGGCACTATCAGTAGCTATACCAGATATGTCGACAAAAGTTAAAGAAAATCACTTTAATGGTGGCTGTCCTGTGCCTAACTCAGCAAACAGCCTCAGAAAAATGCCCCTCACCCACTCCAGACGCTTGGAAGGAAATGGAAAAACAATAAAGTATGTTTGGAATGTGGAGCTCACACTCCTGGGGCCCTGCAGGTTCCGGTGACCTGGTCATTCACCATAGGTACAGTCAGGTGCCTGGCATTGCCTCTCACCAGCACTGCTGGCCCTGTGGCTTGGGGAGGTGCATGCATTGGGAGAAGCATCCCAAAATGCAGGTGCTTTCTCCTGGAGCTCAGGCCTTGTCTGGGTTTTCCACACCTCCTCCCAACAAGGAGGGAAAGCATCAAATACTGTTACCATCAAAGTGCCTGAAGTCTACTGAGTTTCCCACATCATTCTCCAAACTAAGCTTGGTTAAGAACCGCAGCTTATTTGCCACCAATGCTGTGGGCTGTAGAACTCCAAGAGCACTGCTGAGGTGCTATGAGAAGCTTTCGCCACATCCAGCATCGTAACAGGTGCTTTGAGCAGGAGATCCAGCTGTGATGCTGGGCACAGGGTGAATTTTAAAGAGCAGGAGGGAAAAGGTATTATTTAGATGTGAGGGGCTACTGCCTCTGCTGAGCACATATATGAAGCGATAGGGAAAAATTAGCACAAAGAAGAGATGAAGGACTGGCCTATAACCAATAACTTATGCCCAATGGTTCTTCTGCACACAGATTTTATAACAAATGCACCAAATAACCTGTGCAGCGTGGAAGTAGCTGTATGAAGGTAGAAATACACTAAACAACTAAACTACTGATGCAGCATACAATGCACAGAAGCTGGATGAGTGCCTTTAAGTAGCTACAGCTACTTCTGGGCTCAGAAGGCTGGAACATTGTGCCAATTAACTTACTGTCTTCTAGAAAAATTAGTATAAAACCTGTGTTTGCACAAGATCTTGCAGTGACAGACTAAAGGAATACATTCTGTTCTGTTTATCAAAGTGAGAAAACACCATTTAATCATTATCAAGGATAATTATTCAGGGAGGTGATATTGGGTGCAAAATGTATCTTTAATTCAGGAATACAAGATGAGCCAGCTGGTAACTGGAGGAAGACAACTGAAAGGCAATTAACCATTGTGCAGCTTAATGGTGCAAGTGATGGAGTCTCCACCACTTCCCATATTTATCTCAGGATGGGATGCATTTCTAACAGAGCTGCTTTTGTTTAGGCCAATCATGAGTTGTTGGGCACAGACCTGGTTTTACTTCTGCAGTTCCTTGTCTTGTGTATTGCAGGACTTGAGAAGGCTCTCTGGTAAGATTTCCTTCACTTCTCCTCTGTGACCTTCTGAGAACAAACTGGCAAAGCTTATGAGCCTTGGCCCAAATCCAGCTCACCAACCTCACAATATTTCCATGCAAAGCAGAAAAAAACCTTGTGGCAAAGTGAGGTGTGGTACAGCAGGGAAAGAACTTCAGCCCTTCCTTCTGATCCCTGTGACATTTGATGCAGCAAACCAAGGATTTCTATCTAAAAATTTAGGCTAAGGAAGGATCAAGTCCTGGATGCACTGTTGTACCTCAGCGTTGAATAAATGGAGGGGAGCACTGCACAAACCCAGAACAAAGTCATTGTGGTTCTCACGTGGGGTGCTGAACTTTTGCTAAGACAGGTCTAAGGCTCATTTATCTAACACTGCCGAAGCATATAAGAGTAACACTTATTCCTGAAGTACTCTGTGGTCAGCAACAGTGGAAACTTTTTGGATCTGTGAATATTGTTGACTCATTGCATTTCTCATGGCCAGCCACATCTGCCTATCACCCTTTTCTTTTTATTTTACAACCTAACTTAATGGGGCCATTTATCAAAGCTTCACAATAACCTTCCAAGTGCAGTCTAAAGGATGCATAGCAGAAATTGTCCACAAGAGCAATGCAGGCAACAGAATGAATAGGAATAGCCCACATTGCATTTTCAGATGCTGTCATACAAACACCTCCCAAACTGTGCTCAGCAGATTGGTGACTGATATGGATGGTGTGTGCTGCATCCGCTGGTCCATGAACCGACAGATGTGTTGATCATAAGAAGGCGATCAATATGGTTAGACTATGGTAGTGGAGAGTACATAGCAGCCTGTCCAGTGACAGATGGCCTGCCAGGCTGAGCCAGCTAACACCCCAATGAGTTTGTGCAAAGGATGACAGTTGTCTCTACCCCATAATGGGATGCTAGTTTTCTTAGCATCTCTATTGGGCCAAAGACTTGATAAGTTAAATTGCTTGAAGGCTGCATGTATTTCACTACTTACCTGAAAGAGGCTTTCCTTCAGTGGGCTCTGTTTCTGTTTTATCAACAATCTCTTCCAAACCATCAAGTATTTCAGTTTTGTTCTCCTCAGAGCTCTTGGGGAATTGAAAAGAAAGTAGTCTTCTTCTCCAGGTGCCAGTGCCTTCCTGTTCTTTCTCATTCCTTCGTTTTGATTTCCGAATGCTTAGCATGGTTTTAAAACCTCTTTCAATAAATCCCATGTTCTCATCATTCCAAGTTGGGCTGCCTAGCTCTGAAGCAACTTCTGTCTTTTCTTTCTCCACATCATTTGTTGCAGGGTCTGGTTCTAAAGCTGATCTCCTTAGATATACCTTTGTATTTGTACTCATCTTGTTTTTCAATGAAGGGCTTTCCAAAAAGGTTGCTGGCAAATCACTGAAGTGAATGAAAACACAGAGTGAGATGAGAGGATTCTAAAGATCTACTACTGCATTTCCAAAGGACTAAAAATCTGGTCTACTTTTTTCTGTGCCTAATCCAAGGACGGAGAATGTTGTTTCAGCCTGACATGACCAAAATGGTTTCTCTAAGCTCCTTGTGCATGTACTGCTCTGCTTTTAGTCCTGGAAAGCTCTAACTCCTAAAATCAGGCAAAAGGCAGCTAGTTGCCCAGCACCAACGAATTGCTGGATGTCAAGGATGCCAAAGCCTGTTAAACATAACATTTTCATCTGGCAACAAGGCATGTTTTTACCTTCTTTCTTATAGGTGCATTTCCAGCCATGTAGACTGAATGTCAGCAAGGTATTCTCACTTTCTGATGCAGACATGGCAACTGCAGGTCATGCTCTGCTCCTGCCCTGCTCAGTCCCCAGCTGGCTGCTGCTGAACACCCACAGTGAGTGGTCCCTGCAGCCTTCCTGACCCTCCCTGGCTGTCAGCTCGCCAGCCAGCATGACCCAGTCACAGAGATGCTATGCATTGCAGGGGTCTGAGGATGGGCAATGGCACATTTCCCCACAGCAGGCTCAAGGCAGCTCAGCAATCAGTTTAAATCTTTACACAGGAAATTCCTTGAGGTCATCCTGGCCTGGCTTAGTTCTGTCCAGCTCACAGGAGACAGAGATTGAAACATGGTTATGGCCAACAGACAGGTTAGGACCCCACAATTACATTTCAACCTTCCCTATCTGAGCCTGGCCGTATTCCCACTCCCCTGCCTACAATTGTTTCACAGGTTATGAGCCGCAAGTACTGCACTGTTCCATGGGTGGGCTGAGCTCATGGTACAGCAGGGCCTGGACCCTGCCCGACTCTTTCCCAGAAGAAATACTTAACCAATGGGGTTAGAGGGAGAGGAGGGCACCGCATTCCCAGGGGGTCAGCAGGGAAGTGACCAAAGGCTCAAAACCTGCCTTGAAGGCTGGCTACGGTGGTGTGAAACAAGGAGACATGGCAGGAGGAACCCAGAGGCAAGGAGAAGGAGGGATACGCACCCAGGCACTGATCCTGTCTGTTGAGATAACCCAGCTGGTGTCCAGAAGAATGGAGAGCAGCTTCATGCAGGAGACCAGAGAGGTGTGGTGGTGGTGGTGGTGGTGGTGGTCAGGCTGCTGGCAGGGCAGGCATTGGGATGAGTCACCTGGCCCACTCACAGCAGCACCAGCGCTGGCTGAGGGGCTGTCGCATGCATGGGGCCTCCTGCCATCCTCCTCTGTCTGCTGGAAAAGCACAGATGGAAGTGGAAGAAGGATTAGGACCTTTCTGCCGAGCACCTCTAGCAGCTTTACCTGAGCTGTTTTTCGCTTTCACTATGACTTGTGCAGTTAAAAGAAATGAAGAGGAGGAAGAGAAATGCTGGACGAGCTCCAGATATGGGTTAATATTTCCTCTAGGATGGGAGTGGTGAGGCAGACTCTGTGCTGGGGATGAAATGACGGGCTCAGGCAGCTGGAATCGATGGGGCAGCAGAGAGAGAAGCAACCTGGAACCTGGTCCTGCCATGTGTGGGATGAAGTCCCCAGGGGTGAAGACTCAGGTGTAGCCCAGTGCTGATACATGGGCATGGCTTCATTCCATTTCACCTTGTGCTGCCTCACTTCTAGAGGTCACAAGTGGCCCAATCTGAATAATAATTGACAGGTGCAGGTGAAAGACCAGGAGAACTATGCCTGCAGCTATGCATTTGTACATTCAGCCTTTCATTCCTTTCCTTGCTTTGGTAACTATTATCAATGGGGTTGTTAGCCCTGGATTCTTCCATCCCAGCAGCTTTCGGGCATGCTGAAAGGAGCTCAAAGCAAAGCAACAAAGATGTAAAGCTATTAGCATGTCCAGAGGAGGGCTACAAAGATGGAGAAGTGTCTGGAGAGCAAGGTGTGTGAGGAGCAGCAGTCCCTGGGTTTGCTCAGCCCAAAGCAGGGGAGCTGAGGAGAGGCCCCATGGCGGCTGCAGCTCCTCACAGGGAGTGGAGGTGCTGAGCTCTGCTCTGTGTGACAGTGACAGGGCCTGAGGGAAGTGGATGGAGCTGTGTCAGGGGAGGGACAGCTGGGGGTGAGGGACAGGCTCTGCATCAGAGGGTTGTGAGCATGGAACAGCCTATGCAGAGCATGGCCCTGAGTTGCTGGAGTTCAAGGAGTGTTGGGACAGTGCTCTCAGATTTAGGATTTGGGTTTGGGTGGTCCTATGTGGAGCCAGGGGTTGGAGTCAGCAATCCTTATCAGTCCATTCCAACTTCTACGATATTCTATGATTCTACGAACATTCTGGTGTCTGGAAGGCTTTAATGATATTGAACAATGCAGGGCAGGCTGGTGGCAGGATGCCTTTGTTTGGGACAAAACATAGCAGGAAATCCTGCCTGGAATCCCCCTCATCTACACAGTCCAGCACTGAGCTTCTCATCTGAGCCATATTTCACACAGAGGCAGCCTTGTCAGGCTGGGGAAGGTTGCAGTAAGCAGCACTTCTGCACTTGGCAGAGCAACAACGGGGACAAAGGGAAAGTGCTCTTTAATCAACACGTGACAAGGTGTGGAAAGCCCCTTCTTACACAAAGTCCAAATAAACATATTTCTGTTCAGGTTGGTCATCTCCTCTGCCAGACATTTACAGGATATTTCTTTGCACAGGCAGGTTGGCTCTGGCTGGGGTCCTATGCCACCAACTCACAGACCCTGCTTGTGGGATCAGACCCTCTTGGGAGCTACCAGCTCTTCCAAACCAAAGCCAGCAGCAGGACCTCCCAGGCTGCTGATAAACACAGCCTGTGGATCCCAACACCCTGTAGTTTAGGTTACCTCAGTCCCCACCAGATGCTGACTACAAGGCAGCAGAAATTCATGAGTCTGCCATGGAAGTTCATGAGAATTTAAAAATTTATTGTGCCCCAGAGTTATTTACCATTTTACTTCGATTTTGCTAAAGGGTCCTAACCCTCCAGCTATCTGTGAGAGGTTATTTTCTTTAAAAAGGAAACCTGAAGGTCTCCTTGTTCCAGCAGGGGACTTTAAAGGGAAAAAAGCACCAACTGTCATGAAGTTCCAAAAAATAGTGAAGCTGGGTAACGGTTTAATACATGTAATCCTTCCTGCTCTCTATTGTCCCTGTAGAGTGAAGCCTTCAAGAAATCCTTCTTGTTTACAAGCCACCAGTAGCAGCTCTTCGTTATCGGGAGCATGTTTTCTGGGCAGAACCAAGGTGTCACTGTTGAGCATTCAGAGGACTTTGTGCTAAAAACCTTGTGGTCCTTAGTTCAGTGGGCAGCACGTAGACACCACCTTATCCCCAGTGAGCTGTGGGACATCTCAGCCAGTCCATGAGGCTCTTCCTAAATAAACCCTTTTTGAACTAAGAAAGAAAAGCAAATCCTGCAGGAAATGCCCTGTTCTTTTCCCCAACAGTGCCTAGGGCTATCTCTGGCTCAGTCTTTGCTGATCCATCTCCTGGTACAGCAGCAGTCATGAAGCACTGTGGCTGTGCCAGCCTTCACACTGAGCCGGCACGCTCGGTTCTGTTGTGCAGACCTGCCATCAACAGGAACACATGTTCCTGAAAAGATCTTGCCATCTGGAGGAAGCACTGGGAAATTACCTTCCACCAAGCAGCACCAGCCTCATTTCCTTCTCGGCCTCCCGGCACAGTCGTGAGAACAAATGAATCACCAGCACAACCTGGGGGCTTACAGCAGGCTGGTAGACAAGACGAGGCTGGGACCTTCCCACCAGGAAACTCAGCCAGGGAGGAGAAAACAGAAAAGATGGAAAAAGATGGATTGGGAATTAAGAGACAACCTGACAAATCCAGGTGACAGTACAAATACTGCAGGACTGTGGTCAGGGATTCTATGGCAAGCACCTGCTGCAATCCAGTAGCCAATTCTTGCAAGCTATAATCAATGAGAGATTTGCAGCTTGGCTTTAATGGAAAGCCAAGCTCATTCTTAGCTCCTTCACTACAAGAACTTGACTTTTTTTTTCCTTTTATGTGTCTCCTAATTCATAACACAGTGGTGTCAGTGTTTTCACTCTATCTTACTAAGATAAGACTGATTAGGGATAGATTTTAATGGCAAGGAGGTACTAGTGTCCAGATGCCAGGCTGACAGGGATACAGACATGGTAGGGGAGATGTAGGCATGATATACAGATCTGAGAGTGATGTACAAACTCTGTGTCCCTAAATACCTGCATATTTCTGCAAATGTTGGCAGAGGGTGGGAGCCAGCCCAAGACTAGGGCAGAACGAAGGTTCTTTGTGCACATTCTGAAGGGCTTTGTACACATAGCCTGAGCTTCCACTTCACAGGCTTTCAAACACTTATGGCTTTCCCCTCACAAAACATGGTGCCATTGCAAAAAGTGACAACCCAGCTGCCCCGGGGGTTTCCATGGTGACCCAGCCTCATTCCCCATCTGATTTGTTCAGTTTAGAGAAGAGTGATTTTTCTTTTTTCCTTCTCACAGCGAATCGACCCTCAAGCCCAATCCATTTCTCCTCAGTTCCCATGGCCGTGGTGTGTGCTCATGAATCCCTGTTCCCCCTGCATTCACATGCTCATGCCTTGGCTGTGCTGCCCCATCCCAGAGTCAGCCCATGCCAAGTGGGTCAGTCCCTGACAGCTCATTCTTGGGGCCTGGTCCAGAGCTGAGGAGATTCTCCTGGAGATATCTGATCTCAAAAATGATTGCTGCTAACATCAATTCCTTTTCCATCTATATCATTGTGAGTTTTTTCATGTGGCAATGTGTCAGAACATCCAAGAACACTGACCAATTGAAGCTGTTGAGCTTTGAATCCTGCAGTGTCCACATGGCTTTTGCTACAAGTTCTGCAAAGTTACTGGTTCATAAAGATAACTTTAACCAGAACTGGAGAAGATTAGGATCTGGAAAAGCGTCTGGGCAGTGGCTTAGGTGCTCCTGCTTCCATGTGCATGGGGAGACCCCTCTGGGGTGCCTCAGAACCACTTTGCTCCGGTACCATGGCTGAAGCAGAAGCACTATGTCCCTGCTTCCTCTTCCTCCTCTTCCTCTTTTGAAGTGTGAAGTTATTCAGGAGAGAAAGTACAAGGACTCACCCCACCAGTTTGTTCACAGAGCTTGAAATAAATAAACCCCAAACCCAATGAGGGAACTGTGGTAAGCACCAGGGCTTGCAGTGAGCCCCAGGTGTGAGCAGCAATGCTGCCATAGAAAAGACAAACACAGGCAATGTGCAATCGTAAAAGAAAACAGAGAGCATAATTTAAGCGAGTTCTGCACTAATAATGAAGAAAAATCTGGCAGGTGCTTGGAAGTTGCATTTCTGCAAAGCAAGGAAATACTGCCTGGAGGGAGGTACTGCTGCCCAGGAGATGGGTGTGTGATGGGGCCTGCACAGATATGAAAAGGACTCAGCAAGTATCACATCTCAAATGCTGTGTGGAACGAATAAATGAGTTCTCATTTCATCACAGAAGGGAGGGCGTGGAGGATTTTCCATGAGAGCTCCCACTGCAGAAACCCATCCTCAGAGCTTTAGCAGGATAAAAAAAAAAGGTTTCCTTCCTCTTCTGGAGAAGATCTGAAATTGGCCGGCGAGAGCAAGACTTTGTTTTTCTTCTTTATTGATATCATCAAGAAGTCCAGGACTTTTCTCAATGAGTGAGGCACGAGCAGGGCTGCGGGGCACTGGGGCTCCCATCAGGCAACAACTGCATGTTTCTGGCTTTTGGGGACTGTCAGCCAGTTCATCAGGAAAATATCATGGTGAGAGCCCCAGGGAACTGTCCAGTCCCAGCTGGTGGTGGCCATCAGCATGCAAGGACAGCCCATGACCCTTGGAGCAGTCTCTGAATCGTAGTGCCACAGCCTGTGGCCTCCAGCATGGAGATGCCTTCTTCCCCGACAGGATGCCCTCATCCGTTTCATCATGGGAGCTGCCAAAGCACATCTAAGAGCAGAGCACTTTGTTCATGGCAGCAACTGCGGATTAGCAACTGTTATGCTTCCCTTTGCAATTCACCCTAGGCTGTGCAAAAATATTGGTTTGATGCCAATAGGAAAAGCTGTGGCTTCTGTGTATGGAGCCCGGTCCTTTGGCATGGGGCAGACGTCCAGCTCTGTCATAATGCTTGGCTCCAGAGAGCTTCTCCATTGGGTTAAGCACAGGCTGAGCACTCTCTGTAAGCTGGAGCAAAGCTGTGCTCAGCAATTCAGAGTTAGAGTGTTCCATTACTTAATTTGAGTGGCTAACAATATATCACTTCTGGGTCACGGGCACCTACTACTGTGTCTGTCACTGAAGCCAGGTTTTGGGTTTTGCAAAAGCATCATAAAGGACAAGGGCCTTGTCCTCCATTGCAGAGGTTTGCTTCACTGCACCAGCATCTCCAGCCCACTGTACTCAAACGCTTCACCAAAGCCAAGTTAATTGTAGAATATCCCAAGTTGGAAGGGACACAAGGATCATCAAGTCCTACTCCTGGCTCCTCAGGACCACCCAAAAATCAGACCATATGTTTGAGAGTCTTGTCCCAATGCCCCTTGAAGTCCAGCAGCTCGAGGCCATGCCCACTGCCCTGGGGAGACTGTTCCAAGCCCACTGAGCTCTGGTAAAGAACCTTTTCCTGATATCTAACTTGAGTTAATATTTATTTGTGTTCTATGCCGTGCTGTGTTATGGGGGTTGTAGCATGGCTCTGTAGTTTTTTGCTTTGTGTGAAAACAGAGAAATGAAGAGATTAGCCAGCGCCCATTCCTGGGCTCAGACTGTTGCTGCACAGCTGCAGGATATTCTCAAGCACAGGAGCTTTGAGAAATACCAACAAAGCTTTAAAGTGGCCTTAAAAGAAACATCTTTTGGTTTGGTTTGGTTTGGTTTGGTTTGGTTTGATAGAGTAAGAAGAAAGGGACATGCTGGTTCTTAATTGCACGATGCTACAAGCTAGTAGATTTCTCCCAGTGCCAAAGGGTGCAGGTATCACCCCTCCATGTTGCCCATGCCAATGGGAACTATGATGCCCAGCATGCCCACAGCTCTGCACTGTGCCTCCTCTGTACTCAGCTCTGGTGAGGCCACTTCTTAAGTACTGTATTCAGTTTTGGGCTCCTCACTACAAGATAGATATTGAAGCCCTGAAGCGTGTCCAGAAAAGGGTGACGAAGCTGTGAGGGGTCTGGATGTCTATTCCCAGGGGTGAACCTCTGGAAAGCTGTACTTTCCTTAACTTGATGCCTGGGGAAACCTGAGAACTAGCGCTTTATTTAAATATATATTTCTGTACCTTTTTTTTTTTTTAAATAAGTGTTTTTGAAGTTTCATTGAAGATGTTGTCACTGGAATCATTATATTTCTATAGAGATTATAATGACTCCTTTTGAAGAGTTAGTCTCAGTCAGTCAGTGCTTAATTCACATATCAATGACTTCATAAACCCTAAATCCACAACTCTTCTGAAACTGTACTCATCTGCTGTACCAGTGAGTGCCTGCTTCTTAGTGCCAGATTGTTTCTCTATAGGCCATCCCAGCAGCAGTGGAGCCTTGGCCATGCGAGGCAGCGCCATGCAGGTTTTACAAGCCAGTGTGAGTACCACAGCCCAGTTGTTCTCCCTGGCTGATTTGCTCCAAGTTTCTTCATTTGCAATCCATTGATTTGGATGCTTCGCTCTTCTCCATAATTTGCAGCATTTAATGCTTTTTGCATGACAATCACAGTGGGTTGGAGTTTTCTGTCCCAGCCTGCATCCAGTGTCAAAAATGGCATTGACATCTCTACATGGAGCAGCTAAGAGCCCAGCACCCCCAGACCCTGAAGTGCTCGGCCCAGAGTGCTCAGTGCCTTCCCAAAGCAGAGCAATTGGCTGACATTCTTTTTCTTTTATAGTCAGAAGATTTATACAGCCATGTTTTGAAACCTCCTAATGTATGGTGCTATACAGGAGTCCTAATTGCAGTAGCATAGCAGGTGCTGCTGTAAAAATGCAGCTTTCTTTTTTGTGGAATTTAATTTTATTTAAAGTACTGACAGGGAGACAATGAATTGCTCACATGCGCTGGTGGATTTTGCCCCTCCTCCTCATATCTCTTGCAAAAATGGGTACAAAAACAGCATAGGAGGCAGGATGATTCCTCTAGCATTGCTTGGTTGACAAGAACTCAACAAACCTGCATTTGCATCCCTGGTCCTGCCTCTGCATCCCTGATCCTGCCTATTCATCTCTGGTCCTGTGTCTGCATCCTTGACCCTGCTTTCCTCCAGCAATTTGGAGGCTGAAGGCTCATTGTGGTATAGCAGCTCCGGAGACACTGTTGTTGCTGCACTGTGCTGGGTCCCCGGGTGTTTTGGTACTGTCACATAAAATCAAACTCCAGTTCACACTGACATTTGCATGTGCTGTGTGGCCAATGTAAAAAGCATATAGATCAGATTTTCCCAGGGGATAAGAAAAAAAAAAAAAAAAAAAAAAAAGCAAAGGAGTTGAGTGGAGCAGATGTAGACCTGAAATACTTGAGGTGGAATCTGTGCTCATGTCAGCATGAAGCAGTGATTTATCATGGTGAGACATGGGGAGGCTGCATGGGGCTGTTGCCATAGGGGTGGCAGGGCTGATGTTTGGGTGCCATCAGTGCCCAAAGTGTTTTTGCAAAATCCTCACTGCACGGGAGCCAGAAGCAGAGAGTAAGTAATCTTAATTGTCTCTATCTGCTCTAGCATAAAAGAAATCAGGTGGTGCTGGATACAAACAGAAATACAAACCTGTATTTCTTCCAACTTTGGAAACAGAGGCATCAGACTTACTGGCTTTTTGCTCAATTCTGCCCCTGCATGCACCTCTTCTGCATGATGCAGTTGCCAAAATGATATATCAGAGCAGATTTGCTCCCTTCCTTTGAAGTCCCGCAGTAAACATTTTGTCCTCTTACTTTCCTCTGCTTTCTTTCTTCTGCAAGGTTCTGGTGCTGGCAGAGTGAGAGGATTAAAGCACATCATCATTTTCATTTTACTCTCTGAATCATGTCAGTGAGAAACCATCTATTGCTGGATCTAAAACTCACTCTGCCCCTGCCCTGGAAACCTTACAGGAAAAGGAATGAATGATGGCACAGCCTGAATACCCAGCTTTCCTCTTTGATTAGCTGGAAGCAGAAGAGTCCAGTGTTTTCAGAGGCAGGACAGGGGAGGGTGGAGGTCCCTGTGTCCTGCCAGCTCAGAGCAGACTTTGTTGCCTTGCTCGTGCTCAGAAGCATAGCTTGGATCAATCTGTGCCCCTCACTGCTGGAATGAAGCCAAGTGCTGCAGCTGCCCTGCGCCCTGCAACTCACAGACAACTCATCCATGTGCTTTGTGCACCACCAAACATGTTCTGCATGAGTCTGAGCAACCTGTTTCAGCCTGTTCTCCCTCCTACCTGCGTAAGTCTTGCCAACTTCTTATATTTTTCACCTACATAAATGCTTTAACATGAACTAATGCTATTGATGTAATACTGAGAACATGACATGCTCTACAAGTCACAGCATAACCTGGGTCATGTCCTTCTTAGGACCAAGCCAAGCTCTTGTATCCAGAGAGCTGAAGATCTGTTGGAAAGCTGAGCATTAGTTGGAAATTGGACAACAGATGATGCTCTCAATGCTGTGCCCTCATCACTTGTGCCACTGCTGAGTTGCCTGAGGAGCAGTACTCACCAAGGCTGACTGGAGCCATGTCCTTCATATGATAGAGCCAGGAACAACGCTTGGAGACATCCTCAGCTTTGCAAAGCAACCCTATGTCCTCTGGGCAAGAGGGATGGGAATGCAGCTCCAGGGCTCCTACTCAGCAATCCCTGTTGGTACCCAACAGGACTGGTGCTGCAGCCACAAACCGCTCTGTTTGCAGCAGTGCTTGTGTTGCTGCAAGTCCCAGGAAAGCTCCAGCACTTGGCTGAGCCCCAGGGACAAGGTCCCTGTATGGGAACATGGAACCCTCACTGCTCCTTGATAAAGTCAGCACTGAGTGGGCTTCCCTCTGATGCCGCTGGGAAAGAAAGGGAAAACAAAACAAAGCAGTGTTGAACTCAGCAGATGGAGGGAGCTGAGCTTTCTGACTGTTTCTATGGAGCCCCTCCTAGCACTGGCTTGGTGTGGGTCTGAGCTCCATCCCTTCCCAGAGGGGTGCCTCTTCCCATCCCCCTGTAGGACCCACTGTTCTGATAATAGGTTGGTGCCACACCACCAGGCAGCCTGCTTATCTGGCTACCCAGCAAACGATTTGGAAGAACCAAATAAAACATTTTTCATTTGTTCTTTTTCTTCTCTCTCTCTCTCTCTCTTTTTAAAATGTTCTGCGTGAAATGTTGCCTGATCATCCTGCACCTCTCTCAGTTCTGCTCTCAGCTATCTGTGGGTAGAAGTGGAGGGCAGGAGGTGATGATAAGTGATGAAGCTAGAGAGATGATTAAAATGCAGGAGGCAACTTCACCAAACTCAGTCGTAAAATGAGATTGTTTTTTCCCCAGATGAAGCTTTTTGGAGGATCCAGCCCTTTGTCTGTGATCAGATTCAGATAGTGAGGATCAACCCATCATGGGTTGCTGCTCTCTGAGAATACCCCCATGTGAGACTGACACCTGCACAGGCAGACGTGGCATTCTCACTCTGCAGTCCTTGTTTTGCTGCTCTGTGCCATTCAGGTTTTTCAGAAATCCATAGGTGCTGTAACTATGCAGCTCAAGGCTACCAGGGGCTTCAGCTCTCTTACACAGAACTTGGGCTTTAGGCCAGTTCTATCATTTCTCCAGGAACAAAAAGTTAGATATGCTTGAATTAACAAAATTCCAAGGCTGTTCTTCCATCTTTCTACATTCTTCGTGTTCTAATTGACCATTTGGAAATCCTTTACTCAGAAGGGGAAAATAAGGATAGGAGACATAACACTGAGGGAGAAAGGTGTATAAACCCTTCCTCTCTACAACTGCAAAATAGCAATTGGACTGATAGATCTCATTTTAAATGCAAACACAGATTTCTTCCCCAGTCGGCTAAACAATCAAAGGACAAACAGTGAAGCCAAATTTGTATTGCTTCTGTGACTATCTTGCATTTTGCCTCCCGCATTTTAATTTTCTCTCTGGCTTCATCTGCTAAACTGATGCTGAAATGTGTTTGGCCTCATGGTGATTATCTTTGCACCACATCACAGAGAAACATCAGTCATTTCCTCTTCTTTGACCTATTAAACAATTCTTTCTAGCATATTGCTGACTTTGATCAGATTGAAAGAATATAGTCAACAAGCCTTTTTAAGCTTCCACATTAAACTTCTCTGTGTTTTTGTTGTTTTCTTTTCAACATCATATTCTGAAATACAAGTCACCCTCTTCTCAAGCTGTGATTGCTCTGAGTTACTCAGCACAGGGGCAGTTTGGTTTCAGATTTACTTCTCACTACATCGTGTCATCCACTCCACAATGTGAGGACACTGCATGGAGATGAAAGTAAACCCCAAGCAGTGAATCAGGTCATTATGTGCAAACTGGTACCTGTACTTGTGTAATTTCTTGAATTATCTCTTATCTCCTCATCTTTTGAGCACAATTTGTGTGTGGGGGTAGTTGTCATTCCTGTGAGCAACATCTCCAAATTCTAAGGATTATTCTTTCTTGACCTTGATAATTCTAATATATTTATTGTATTCTGGGGGCAACAGAAGGTGGGAAGTTGATGTGGGTTTATCTCACACCCACCAGCCTCAGTGTGAGCAGAGCTACCGCCACCAGGCACTTTTGGGAAGACCCAATACACATCATTAATTTGGGATTCTATGTGTTAGAGGGTCTGTTTTTAACAGGAAAGATGAAACAGAGGTGGGAAACCTGGTCATGGGAAGCATCAAAATACAGTGCGTGATATCAGAGCTGTGTTTAATCATTCACGGTGACCACTGTTCTATTTGTGAAAAGAGCACCTCTGGACAGGCTGACCACACCGTGCTTGAAAACAATGGCCAGCAGTAAGACTGTTAGTGAGATAAGGACCAGGACTTGGCCTTGAATGTTGATCAGGAGAAATTAATGTATCCTGTTTGGTGCTGACCGTGGCCAGCTCCTGAGTCACAACCCATATCACATCCTTGAACTTTCGTGACCAGGTCTGTGAACAGATAAGCAGGGTAAAATGCTGCAAGGCGAGTCCTGAAAGGACTTCTGCTTCAGACAGAGGTCTGTGCTACACTTTTATTTTTTTTTTGCTCACATGGAGGTCTTAAAGAAAATGCAATGCAAACCTAATGCAGGCACTCGTCATTTTCCTTCTTAGGAGGCAGAGCTGACTTGTACGGATGCAGGTAGATACTAGATCCAAGCACCTTCATGCAGCAAGGGATGTGGCATGCAAGGTCTGCATGTGGTGGCAGTGTCCCCGTGCTACAGGAGCAATGTGCAATGGGAGGCCAAATTCCCCTCACTGCTCCCCTGCAGGTGCACAGCCTCTGCTGGGTGTCCCCACCCCTTCACCGCTGTGTCATCCAAACAAGTGGCAGTGTTGGCACAACCAGCTGCAGTTGTATAGGCACGAGTGGCTCCCGTGCTGCTCCAGCTGAGCGCTGTGCCAAGAATGCACGGGCTGCTGCCAGGAGGCAACGCCAGCAGTGACTGCATTTCACTCAATGCACTTTTTTTCCCCATAAACTCTTCAGAGTCCGTATGCAGTCCTTGTTGTGGCATCTCCTGCACCCACATCACGAATGGACATAGAGCTACCTGATGTCCCAGTGATGGGAAGAGACATTGCCCCATTCCCATCTCACCATAAATCCCCCATTGCACTCCAGTCCCATGACAGGAGTAAACCAAGGTGATGTTTGGGTGAAGCCCAGACTGGCAAGCAAGTCTAGTTGCTGGAGGGCACCCTGAGAAACAGCCACTTTGTAGAGCAGCAGGGTCAGCTCTCTGCCCCCAATCTCTTCTCCACACCCCCTCTATGTACAGACATCCTGCACAACCTCATTTCCCCAGGAGAGGCTGCAGCACCACACTTCCTGAGCTGGTGGCTTTTAGTCTCAAGGGAGAAAACAAAGCACATGAAATTCAGGCAGACTTTTGGCTCTGCCTGCAGCAAGTTTGGGCACAGCTGCACTTCTGCATTCATCCTGAGTTGTTTGCAATCTGAAGCTGCTAGAATCATAGAATCACAGAATATCCTAAATTGGAAGGGACCCACAAGGATTACTGAGTCCGACTCCTGGCTTCACACAGGACCATACAAAAACTAAACCTTATGTCTGAGGGCATTGTTCAGTCACTCCTGCCTTGGGGAGCCTGTTCCAGTGCCTGACCGTCTTCTCAGTGAAGAATCTTTTCCTGATATACAACCTGAGTGTGTCACTGGTGTGGAAAAGTATCTTAGCATCGTGCTAGAGGCACCAGCATTCATTGGCTCTACGTGCTTGTGGTGCCAGAATGTCTTGGAGAACAAGAGTGAGGAAAGAGACAGGAATATAAACAGTTCTGAGAATGAAAACAAGTAAAGACAACATTGAAAAAAAAGAAAAAAAAAAAAAAAAAGAAGGTAACTGACAGAAAGAAAAGTCTTTTCAACATAGGGAAAGAAGACAGATGGAAAGACAGGAGAGAAAAGAAAGAAAGAAATGTGGAGAAATGAAGGAGAGGTTGGGGGAAGGCTGCACAATAATTTGGCACCAGTTCCTTGCATTAATTCCCTGAAAATTGTGCGAAGCGGGGGCAGAGAGCTATGGATTACTTGAAGTGTAGCACCACAATACCGTGGGTTGGCCACTAAATTACCATTCTGAGAGTCTCTTGGCTTAGCCTCACTGCTGCTGTGAAGAGAGCGACGTGTGCTGAAAAACAGACCTATGAGGAAGAGGACTGAGACTAGAAATTCCATTATATTCTTGGCACTTTGACATTTTTCCTCCCCTTTTGTGAAATCTCAAGGGAGCGCTGCCTACTCTTGCAATAATAATAATAAAAAAAAAATAGGTAGCATATGAGTTGGCATGGTAACTTCATCTACTAAGTAACTAACATGTAGGATTTGATTCTTGATCTAGAATAATAATGTCAACAGCCTCCAGGAAGGTGCTTACTTGTGACTGACTGCCTGTTCCAGACTGGATTTCGTGCTTCTCTTACACTTGGTGGCCTTGGTGAAACTCACCACAGGGACAGGGACAGGGACAGACCTGAGCCACTCTGATGCTGGAGTGCATGTTTGCTGGCTTCCTCCACTACACCTTTCAGGTCAGTACAACTTGATCATGTCCAAGCACTGGTTTGCATTAATTACTGTTGTTGACTGGATTTTCTGAAAGATCTGTAGAAAGGATCAAAGGTCTGAGGACTGAGCAGACTGGTTCTGATGTAGCCGTGCTGCAGCATCGGGCACCCTTCATGCCTCCAAATGGGCTCAGTAAGTACTCTCCCACCTGGAAGGGCTCCACAGGATAGACCAACTGTGCCAAAGAAACAGGGACAGTACATGAGACAGAATTGGAAGCTAGCCATTATTACCATTTTCAATAAGGCAAAAAAAAAAAAACAACAACAACATCCCTATACTTTATTTTGCTAGTGCTTATGGCTGAGGAGTAGCTGTATGGTTGGAATCCACTTATCTCCTTCATCCCTACTGCTGATCCAAGAGAAACGAGTGCACGCAAACAAGGCTCCCATGAGGAGGGGGAACAGTGGGCACACAGCCCAAACAATTAATCCTTTTCTATCTCTATTTTTCCATCCCCACACGATAAGTCTGCTGCTGGAATTCTTAGGGTGCATTGTCCATCTTGCTCCAAGAGCCGTCCTCATCAAGGTGAAGGGTAAAGAGACAGTCCAGGGGATTATCTGGAAAAAACCTTTGCTCTCTATAGCACAGCTGCTCTAGGGAGTTGGCTTCTGTGCTCTCTTCTTGTTTAAATTTCCTGTATTCTTCAGCCTGTCCTTTACACAGGTCCCACATAGTTCATTTTGGTCTCAGGGAACAGACACTGCCCTACTGGTATAAAGACTATTTGGGTCAGTGTGGCTTGTTACAAAAGAGCATAAATGTGACTATAGAGTATTTGACTAGATCCATCTAGCCCAGTATCTTGTCCTGAAAGCCATCATAAATGGATGTGCAAAGAAGAGAATAAGAAAGCCGACAGAGATACTCCTTCACTCTCCAGCCATTTTCAATTCAGGTGTTTCCTGAGCTAACTGAGGTCTGTAGCAAGTATCTAGCAACTTCCAGAAGATTGTTGGTTTTTTTTTT